ACAATTTAAAGGAAAAGAGGCCAGTGCTCCTGACTAAATAGTCAAGTTTTGCATGTTTTAAAAATTCTTGCAGCACACTGGTTGAAAATCGCTGGTCTAGCATACAAATTTGCCCTGAGTTCATGCTCAGTTCTACTTGTTAAGAACAAAAAGTAAAGAAAAACAAAGCTGACTACAACTGTCAGTGGGTTTTGGAAAGTTATAGGGAATCTAACTGGTGGAGATTGGATTTGACTGAGACAGTGAGGTTAACACCCTCCCTGTTTTTAGAGAGATCAAGATATCTTCTGATGTTGTTTTTAGAAAGATCAAGATCTAAGCAATAGTCATGGCTAGGATCCTAGTATTACACCAGACAGACAGGGTGTGGGAAGGAATCTAATGTAGCTTGATTACATAGACAAAATAGAAAAGAATCTATCTAAAAGACACTCCAGGAAGCATTTTGGAGACCTTGCTGTACTTCTTTTTGTAAAACATATACTCAGCAGTGGCTGGGAACAAAGGATGGTGATTTCAATGAAGAGTGTGAAGATAACAAATATCATGTCTTTAGGGTCATACCATCTGGAAAAGCTATGGCATGCAGAGACAACAAAGAAAATGCTCTTTCTAAACTTTAATTTGCTCATTTCTAAGCCCCATTTCCTCCATGGAACATATGTCCTAAGACGGAAGGTGAACAGCAGGGATGGGGAATGTTGAAAATAGTCTCATATTTCTTCAAAATTATTCTCTCCATTCTAGATCCACACTTCATTAAGGGGGCATTTCTCTGTCTTCTTTGAAGACTTATACTCTAAAGTTGAAATGGCAGTCTCACAGAGTATCAGGAGAAAACATTAAATGTGAACAGGAATTTCAGGGGCTGCAACATCCCACATAATCCATCCTCCTCCTGATCCTGCGCCCTGAGGGCTCTAGAAGCAAAGGAATCAGTTCTCTGAAGATCGATACAGGCAAATTAGTCACCGAGGTCTGCTCTGGCTCTCTCCACACTTCCCACTGTCTCCCAACCCCAGTCAAAATGTCCTCGTCATTGCAGAACAGGAAAGCAAGTCCCTAAGGTAAGAAGTTAAATCTGGAAAAAACTTTGGCCTTGGCCCTTAATTTTAAGAAAAAGGTATTCTGCGAAAAATTCTGTCTTGCTATCCATATCGCCAAGTCTCTCCCTTCATTTTATCAGCTGACAGCTGCCAGGAAAAGAGTAACAATAGTGCCTCCCTTAAAACCTGTAAGTAGCTCTCCCAAAGACCAGCTAAGCCTCCTGATGATGATCCTCACACAGAGAAGACGCTGGAATATGCACTTCCTCGACAACAGCCAGGGAAAGCGCACCTTTTAATTTGGGGTGGAGAGATGAAAGCATCAATCCTTTAAAAATCAGCCATTTAGTTGCTCTGATAACAAAGCATGACATGAGGACAAGCGTTGAGGTGACGCCTTGCCCTTGGACCAGTCCTAGTGTAGCTACTTCAGATTCATGGAGTTGTCGCTTAAAGTGGGGCCCTCACCTGGAAACTGAAGTTCTTTCCATGGCACCTCTTTTTCCTTGGGTGATTTTTTTGTCAAGGTACTTAATGCCTTTGAACCAATTTCATAAGCTATGAGGGGCAGAACTAGAATTGAGGCAAAGGTGAAAAAGAATAATCTCCAAATCCTTGTCATGGTTTCTCGCATAGCTTAATGACTTTTGGAAGTTATCTCACTAGGGTGAACTCTGCCTCACTTTAGGTCCTCTGAATGAGTCAAGCATTAAGACAGCATGGCCAGAGAACAATAGCTGTACCCACAATTATGAAAAGAAGGGTTTGCTTTCATTGTGGAATCTATTCTGCTATTTTAAAAATACATTCAATATAAATTAAAGGTCAGAGGTGAATGGACTGTGCTTTAAGTTGGAACACAGATGCCATCTAGTCTTTGCATCCTGCAAAATTCTTCTTTAAGTGAATAAATGTGTAGGGTAACTCTCCATTACCTTGGTCGGCATCTAATACCAACCTGACACTTAGAATTAAATTAGAGAAACAAAATTGGATACTTTGGGACTTGAGGGCTGATTATACTACTGGAGCTAAGAGTGGATTTAAACTCTTCCCTTATCCCATTTAAATCTAACTAGATATAAACTCTCCATTACTGAGGAATAGAGGTGTGTCTGCAGAGGTGGAGGTTCCCCTTGATGTTCTTGGACAAGGAAACCTAATCCTTTCTTCTGACACACATGGTTGCAATAGAAAGCGTTCTCCAACTGCCAGTCTGGTTTTAATCTATTGTTGCAAGCAGGACAGGATTTGCAGGGAATGTGAAGAAAAGAGCAAAATTACCAACACTTACTATAAAATAAAAGTGTTGATGAGAAATCAAATTTTAAACAAGTGTTCAAAATTGTAAGCATGAACGTAAGTGTATGACTGTAAGTTTTTAATTGTAAGTCTATCTTAAGTCTGCTTTCAATACATTTGTATCTCATTTTACTAAAATTTTTTAGCTTACCAAATGATAGCAATGGTAAAATACTGCAGTAAATACAATGGTGCTTCATTTAAACAACACTGTTGGGACAATGAAATATTCCGTGAGTGAACTTCCGAGGTAGCCAAACTAACTGCATTATATGAACTTCTAAAATGTTACCTATTTTGTATGGAAATGTTTCAAAAGTGTGTTATATAATTTTTCTTAGAAGATGGACTGAAAAATATATCTTTTCCTGAAGACTCAGGATTAGTTTTTAAAATCCTTATTAAAATAAGCTGAATACACTGTACTTCTTAGAAGAGCACAGATGGTGAGCTCATATGATGGTGAGCTCTTTGGTGATATTTCCCCCAACACAAAAAGGTTTCAGAATGCTGTTTTAAAAAAGAGTACAAAAGCAGTCAAAACTAGCTTGCTTTTAATAGATCTAGTCTTTTCTGCTGGCAGCTGTCCTCTCTGGTTGTTAAAAACCTAACAACATCTGACAATTGCACACTTTCTCAAAATAAACATATTTAAAAGATATGCCTGTCTACTCAATGTACGGCACTAGAATACAAGCTGGGGGAAATGTAACACTTTACAAAATACAGTCCTTATCCAAGGAGCAACCTTGCTGGCTGGATGACACCCAAGTCATCAGGTCGGCCCTGGCCAGGCAGCTCAGTTGGTTAGGTCATTGTCCCAATAAGCTGAGGTTGTGGGTTTGATCTCCCCTCAGGGCACATACAAGAAGCAACCAATGAGTGCATGGATAGGTGGAATAGCAAATTGATGTTTCTTTCCCTTTAAAAAATCAATTTTTTTTAAGGGTATAAGAGGTACCAGGCCACCACTGTGGTGGGAAACAAATTTATTACTTCTAAGTTTGGAAATAATTTACTTAAAAATACAGATATTGAAATGATTACACTTGTGTTCTGATATACCTTTTTCCATGGGAGTATGTCACTCGTGAAATTATCAGTCATGTGAATCTTAGCAGATAAAAGACTAAAATTACTGTTTTGAGGAATAAAGTAGGCAGGCCCTTTGACAGCTATCTGCTGTAACCCTCATCTTATTTTTAGGCTTTTACAATCCAGATGGTGTAGGATGTCATAAATCTAATCTTACTAATTCCTAAGGTCATAGAATCTAATTAATAACATCTGCAAAACAAACTGTATCTTAATTCTTTGCTGTGTATATGAATACAAAACATTTAGGCATTTTATAAACCTGCACATTTACAAGGAATAATTGTATATCCACTGGCAAAATCTCTTTCCTGGGTTTCAGTATTACATTTTAGGAGTTTTAGAAGTATCTTTTGCCTACTAATTTCCATCACCCGGCTGTCCATAAACGCTACCTGGCACTCTCAAAGATTTCCTTGGTTTCAATTACCACCTATTTCGTAGTTCAGAACTCTCTCCTGAGTTCCAGACCTATCTAATGGGCGTCACATTTGGGAGTACTAAAGCGCCTCAAATTTAACAGACAAAAACTGATCAGTTTCTTTGAAGAATAAGACTTGATTTCAGTAGATGCTTTTTGCCCCCGTCATCCCTACAATTCCTTCCCTGCTTAATCAATTATGCTTGAACTTCACCAGTACTTTGTACCACTCTTATGAAATTTTAATGCATGTTTTTAATTTATAAATTGACTTAACCTATTAGATTTCAGTTCCTTTAAGAATATGGGCATCCTTACTCCATTTGTCTCCCAACTCTCCCTATGAAAATGAGGTTATTTTTAGTATTCGTTCAATAGATAAATACAACAAAACACATAAAGGAACTCTGACGAATCTCTTCGTTGTATTTTTACTTATCGGTATCTCACATGTCTGAGAGCTTTTGGGGTGCATTAACAGAAGCGGGAGCACTGTTAACTCTTCTCATAACTTAACCCCAAACAGAGGAATTCCCTTCCCTGGACAGGCAGAAGCACAACCCTAACCACCCTTCCTCCCTAGTCTTGGTGTGCTTCTGTAACACCTAAAACATTGCATCATTTGTTTACCTACCACCCCACTAGGCCATGCACTTCTTGAAGGAAACATGTCTTTCTTTGTACCTTAAGTGCCTAGTGTTGGCAGATCAGATGAATTGAGGCCACATAGGTCTCAAAAGAGCGCTATTGCTCTCTAATAGGATTGCGAAGGCCCCATTCTTGCAGAAATTTCTTTAGAGTTACCTATGAATAACTATGAATAATCTGAAAGGCAACTTCCTTGACTTGCTTCTGGTCTAAAAGCCGATACTAATATCCCCAAAGGAGCCTCTCTCTCCAGAAGCCTGAGCAAAGACCAGGTCTCCAACGGAAACACTGAGGTCCTTCTCCACCCCGTTCCTGTCCCCACCTGCTCTGCAAAGACAGGACTCGCGCCCCACCTCAAGCCCCTACCCCTGCGGCGCTAATTGGCCCACGCCCGAAGCCTAGAGCGCAGGCGCAGCAAACAAAAGAGCAGAGAATGTGCGACTGGCTCTTCCAGCAGACGTCACTCGAGACAAGAAGGCTCCGCCCTCCTCAAGATGGCGCTGCACTCAATGCGGAAGACGCGTGGGTGCTGGCGCTTCATCCGGGCATTTCACAAGGGACCCGAAGCTGCGCCTGGTTCCCAGGTAACCAAAGTTGGCCCTTCTCCCGCAGGTTTTCCATCCCGCTAGGTCCTTCTCGTTTCCCCTCCCTCCTCCCATTTGCTTCTCTCTTCCGGCTTCCTCTGGAGAGTACCACACCGTATCTCTCCTGAAGTCTACTCGCTTAAGACTGCCCTTCTGCCTAGAGCTGTTAGGCGACGCTGTAAGGCTACGAGATGACGTAACGCGCCCCTGGTGGGAGGAGCGCACCGCCTCCGGCTCACTCGGACCGCCCACCTTCTCACGGTGCAGGGGGTCTTTTACCGAGCTCTGCAAAACAGGAAGCCTGGAGCCAGCAGAGAAACTCGCGAAGTCGTCTTGCTAGGAACTGGGAGGTTTAAACTGGTGCAGCCTCTGACGCCCTCCCTGTGGCAGTGCATTTTCCACTCTGGTTTCCCCTCATTGCCCCAAAGTGGGTCTGTTGAAGTGCGTCGTCCTGTTCTCTGCCAGGCAGCACTGCTGTTACCGTTACTCTGTCGTGCTGAGAGCAGGACACGGCCTTCAACCTGGCCGTCAGTGTTTGGAACTTTACCCTCACAGCAAAAGAAAAGTGTGTTTGTGTGTGTGTGTGTATACATATATAATTATAATATGAGTGTATATTTCATCCGTTCAGGCGTTGACGTCTAATCTCAGTGGTAGGTACTTGCCATCCTTCTCTTGGGAGCTATTTAATGGGAACTAGGGAGAAATTTAAGGTTCTGTGATTAGTGGGTGATTTCCTGGCATCTTTGCACATTCGTTGTCGTATTGTGTAGGTGTGAGGATTTTGTATGGTAAGTAGTGTCTCGGGAAGAGCATTAGACTGGAAGTTAGGAAACCAGAGGAAAGAGACTTGTCAGCCATTTGTTAGCGGTAAGACTTTGAGTCACTTAATCTCACAGGGTTTATTCTCTAGCAAAATGGGTGGAGAAAGGGTTGGACTGATTGACACTTTCATGTTATTTCAAGTTTTGGAAATCTGTGGCTTCATGATTATGAATCCAAAGTACAGCAGTGAGATTAATTATGAAACCAAGATTTAAGTTCAACTTGTTTTTCTGATCATCCCATACATCACTTAGCCTTCTGTACCAAAGCTTTCTTCACTGCTAGGTAACCAACAAGATTCTTGTAAGGAAGAAGGATATTATACCAGAAAGCTCTTCATCAACAGAACAGCTATTTAAATACTATTTTAAACTTAAGGCAGCAATGAAAAATTGATTCAAAATTAGATAAATCCATCAACCCTCTTTGAAACTCGAGGGTCTAATGCTGCAGAACCAGGGTTGGTTAATTACTGTATTTATAGCTATTAGTAGCATGTTAAAAACCTATGGTATCAAAGTAACTAAACCGTAGACCCCAACTTCCTCTCATTCCAAACTCAAGAGCTAAGGATGTCATGACAAATAGAGAATCAAAGAGAAAAGAAAAAGAAACTAGAGCCTTCTAATGATTGCCCAGAGAGATTAAGGGGACTAAAACATTATAAATGCTAAAGAAAAAATTTCTTAAACATCTATTGTTTCAGTGGCATTTACCAATATGGTTATCTTAAAGTTAATCAACTGTTCTGGATTGTTTCAAGATGTAGAATTTCCAGAACAGATTAGTGTTTCTAAACCTTTGATTTAGCTTTGATTAGAATAAGAATTAAACGTGAGAGCATTTTTCTAAAGTATAAGTCTACATACAATTTTCAGTCTTTAAAAATGATGGTTTGCAGGGCTAACAGTCTTTTGAAAGACCAATTGAAAAAACACAAAATTTCATTAATAGTGTAATTATAATATTATATTTGGAAATAAATATGTAAATATATGCACAGAAAAAAAAAGACTGGAAAGAAACAATCTTTTTTTTTTTTCCTTCATCCTCACCCAAGGATATATTTATTGATTTTAGAGCGAGAGGAATGAAGAGAGAGACAGAGAGAAACATCGATGTGAAAGAGAAACAATTGTGAGAGAGAAACATTAACCAGTTGCATCCTGTACACATCCTAACCAGGGATCAAACTTCCAACCTTTTGATGTAGGGAACAATGTTCCAACCCACTGAGCCACCTGGCCAGGACCAACCATTCTTTTTTTTGTTTTGCTGGGTTTTCCTAAGTAGTGGATTAAAAGTGATTTAAGTTCTTTAAGCTTTCCATATTTTTCACATATTCTAAATTGAAGATATATCACTTTTAGACCCAGAATAAAATTTTAAAGTGTAAATCTCCATATAAATCCATAGTCATTAATATCATCTGTGATATTTTAGGTCTCACAGAGATACTTGTCCCACGGTGCTGTTATTAAAATGGCCTTAGAAAATGACTACTAAAAATTTATGGCCACTTTTCCCGTGTGTATCTTCTTTTTCTCTTGAAAAGCTTCCTTTGAAGTCAAAGAGATTTTGTGAACAGATGCAGAAATATGTGAAGGAAGAATTGGATTCTTAAACCAGATGCATTAGACATTTTTATGGTATCTCATAACCTTTGTAGAAAACAAAAATTATTTTGCAAGAGAATACTATAATAGAAAGAAATGTATATTTATCGTATGGATGATTCTATTTAAAACTAAAAAATAGCCATGTTGCTTGGTATTAGCTTTGGCTACACAGTTCCTCCCTGAGGTGAGAAGCCAAAGTGGAGGAGCCATGTCTCCTTTGTTGGAAACTGTGTGATTCCAAGGTTGTTTTCCTAAAAACGCACAATCTTGGGTAATAAACATGGCATCAGGGGCCTTTAATTATCTTAGGTGCAGGCTTTTGCCCCTCAAGGCTAGATACAGACTCAGGTTTAAAATAAAACAGAGAAAACAGAAATAACAGAGTATCAAGCAATAGTCATTTTGAGATGCCTACAATTTATAAGAAAACGGTTTATTTTGCCAGGTGTTGCCTGACAAAAAGCTGTTGAAGTCTGACAAGACGAGGGTAGTCCTAGAGTCAGAATGAAGGTCTGACATGTTATGTTTAAATGCTGATGGCATTAGGTAAATAAAGGCCTGTCATCATTAGCCAAGCACAGAATTCATACTTCTTTGAACACTAACTTATGATTTTATTGTGGAAAGAGTGAAATACTGATGGTGAGTAGAGTTTTGTGAGAATATGTCTAATCGTTCAGTTGAAATATATAGAATGACCCTATTTTATCACACTTGAACAATACACTTCATTATTGGCTGTCCTGATTTGGGTTTGGCCAATATTAATACACTGTTTCCACTGTTGACGGCCACTAAGTATAGCCATTAGATGAAGGAATTATGCCTGCAAAAAAGTAGACAATGTATTAAATTTTTGCTCTTGTATTTATTTCAACAAGGCTTTTAAAAAACTGCTCTCTTTGAAAAAGTTTCTTATTTTAAAAGTTTTAGATTTACAAAGTTGCAAAATTCGTTTTTTTATTTTATTTTATTTATTTTTATTGTATTTTTTTCCATTGCCATTCATCTTCTTTATACCCCCTTTTGCCCCCCACCTCCCACAATCACCTCACTGTGGTCCGTGTCCATGAGTCCTTTTTCCTTTTTGTTCGATCCTTCCACCCCCTAAACGCCCCCATAGCTGTCACCCTGCTCTCTATGAGTCTGCCTCTGTTTTGCTTGTTGATTTAGATTGTTCATTAAATTCCACAAATGAGTGAAATCCTATGATATCTGTCTTTCTTTGACTGGCTTATTTCACTTAGCATAATGTTCTCCAGGTCCATCCATGCTGCTGTAAAGGATAAACTTTTCTTCTTTTTTACTGCTGAGTAGTATTCCATTGTGTGAATGTCCCCTTGTTGTTTTATCCACTCATTTACTGATGGACGCTTGGGCTGCTTCCATGTTTTGGCGATTGTAAATAATGCAGTGAACTTAGGGGTGCTTATGTTCTTTCAAAGTGGTGTTTTGGGTTTCTTTGGATATATTCCTAGAAGTGGGATCACTGGGTCAAAAGGCAGATCTAGCTTTAATTTTTCAAGGTATCTCCACACTGCTTTCCACAGTGGCTGCACCAACCCACATTCCCACCAACAATGCAGAAGGGTTCCCCTTTCTCCACATCCTTGCCAGCACTTGTCATTTAGTGATTCATTGATGATAGCCATTCTGACCGGCGTCAGGTGATAACTCATTGTGGTTTTAATTTTCATTTCTCTGATGATTAGTGACATTGAGCATCTTTTCGTAAGTTTATTGGCTATCTGTATGTCCTCTTTGGAGAAGTGTCAATTCAGGTACTTTGTCCATTTAGTAATTGGATTTTTTGTTTTCTTGGTGTTCAGTTTTAAAAGTTCTTTATAAACTTTGGATATTAACCTGTCATCAGATGTATTGGCAAATATGTTCTCCCATATCGTGGGTTGTCTTTTTATTTTGTTGATGGTTTCCTTTGTTGTGCAAAGGTTTTAGTTTGATGAAGTCTCATTTGTTTACTTTTTTCTTTTGTTTCCCTTGCTTGAAGAGATAATATCAGATAAAATATTGCTATGAGCAATGTCCGAGATTTTACTGCCTATGTTTTCCTTTAGGATTTTTATGGTTTCTGGTACAACATTTAAGTTTTTAATCCATTTTGAATTTATTCTCGTGAGTAGTATATGAGGTGGTCTAGTTTCATTTTTCAGCACATACCTGTCCGATTTTTCCAACACCATTTATTGAATAAACTATCATTAACCCATTGTTTGTGCTTGCTTCCTCTGTCAAATATTAGTTGACTATAAAGGTGTGGATTTATTTCTGGGCTCTCTATTCTGTTCCATTGAGATAATGTATCTGTTTGTATGTAGTACCATGCTCTTCTGATTACCATGGCCTTATAGTATAGTTTGATTTTAGGTAGCATGATTCCTCCAACTTTGTTCTTCTTTCTCAGGATCACTGTTGCTATGTATCACCTTTTGTGGTTCCATGTAAATTTTTGAAATATTTGCTCTAGTTCTGTGAAATATGTCATTGGTATCTTGATAGGAATTGTGTTGAATCTACAGATTGCTTTGGGTAGCATGG